AAAAAAAAAAAAAAAAAAAAAAAAAAAAACACATCATAGTAAAATTAATACCTTCTCCGCTTCGCATCGAAGCTAACAATCCGTGACTGTGATAGCAATATCATAAAAAACCAATTAGCTATCTGTATTTTAAGTATTTAGTTTCTTACACAATAATTATAAATAGAAATAATTAATTTAATTTATGAATATATAAATCAAATTTAATATATTACTAAAGATTTTTGCTTATAGTGATGACGCATGATAGTTTTTATTTAAAAAATTTTAAATCAAGAGTAAAATGAAGATAAATTTCATTATAAAACATTCTTGTGAGTGAATAAATGTATTTAAATATAATATTACAAAGAACTTAAATATGGTAAGTCACACACAATTTACTAATGAATAATTATATTATGTAGTTTTACCAAAATAAATTAAAACTTTGTATTAGTATATTGATTTCTGTAACAATCTCAAAAGTACTTAACACATTCTTCATACCTTATATTTTATTGTTATATTTGTTAATATTAACATTATACCTTGGCGGTAAAAGTATTGTCGCACAAAAATGTCTTGTGATAAATATAAAAAAAACACACCTCACTTAGGATATTTTAACATTGTATTAACTTCTATAGTGCAAATTCAAAAATTGTTATACTTTTGTTATAAATTGTCATTTTGTATTTATTTATTAATCTTATCAAAATACAATTTGTAGTAGATAAAGAACGTATTGAGGTAGAGGAGAGCGGGGCTAGTTAACGTTTGATGTATGAACTTGGTTTTAAAAAAATCACGTAATGTTCTTGAAATTTTTATGGCAATATTTTTAAGTATATTATTCAAATAATTACATATTTTTTAAAAATAATTAAAATGAACATATATGTTTGTTTTAAATCGCACTTCTACATATTTTGGAAAAACGATATTATTCATTATTGTTTTACTGTTTGGATTAGGCTACATAAGGTTTTAACTTGAGCGTTAATAAATAAATATTGAGTATTTTAAATTAAAAAACTTTATCAAATTACAAAAAGACATGGGAGATTTTTTAATAAATGATATGGAAAGAGTTAATTTTTGTTCTTATAAATAAATATGAAATTTCAGTGTACAGATTTTTTTAACGCTTACCAATCAATTTCTCTTAAATTAATAACTTTTTTATACATTTCTTTTTGTTAGTTACATATATATTTATATTTATCTGTTATTAAATATTTTCTAAGTCTATACTTTATATCTTATAAGGATACTAACTATTTTTTTTATATGAAACTTTTTTTTTTTAACCTTATGAACTAATAAGTCATTTT